TCTCTCTCTCTCTCTCTCTCTCTCTCTCTCTCTCTCTCTCTCTCTCCCTCTGCCTCAGGATGCCATGAGTGAAGCAGGCATCCTCTGTCATGTGTCCCCTCCTGCCAGCCAGGCAGTACCAAGATGAAAGCATTGGGGCCGGCTCACCATGGACTGAAGCCCCCGAAGCCCTGAGACCCAGCATCCCCTTCTTTCCTCTGAGTTGATGCACCTCAAGTGTCTGCCACAGTGACACAAGCCAGGGGTTCAGCTGTCAGGCAAGGTTGCACCCACAAAATCCAGAGCAAAGAGCTCACAGGGCAGGGCAGGGGCTGAGGTAGAGACGCTAGTCTTTGTGCCCTCCCCAGGTCTGCTACCTGTGCCACAGCCTCCTGACCCTGGCTGGTGTGGTGGTCAACAGTCAGGATGTCACTCCGGAGCATTGGGTGAGTGTCCCAAGTGGCCAGGAGGGGCTCCCACTGCCCTTGTATCCCACAGCCTAACCTGTGTGCCTAGCACTTGTCCCTGTTCCTGAGCTGTCACTCAGAGTCATATGCCCACGCACACCCCCTGCCTGTCCTGGGATTTGGGGTGTGCCTGCTCAGCCCCTCTGACCTCTGCCTCTTCCCTGGCCTGGCAGGGTGAGCTGCAGCTGTTGTGCATGCAACTTGACCACCACATCTGCACCCACATCCGGGAGAGCCCCCAGGCCATGCACCGCACCCGACTCAAGGACCTGGCCACCCAGACCTACATCCGCTGGCAGGAGCTCTCGGCCCGCTGCCAGCCCAAGGTGCCCGGGAGCCCCAGCCCTGGACAGTGAAAGAAGCAGGCAGGCAGGGCTGGCTGGGGCCAGCAGCATGTCCACAGTCCACTGAGAGCTGCTGTGCCCCTGGCCAGGGTGGGTGTCTGGTGGGGGTCCCCGGGGAGGGGTTGAGATTCTTAGCAAGAACCCAGAGCCCAGGCAGGGACACAGGGACTCCTCTGGGCTTCAGGCTGGACTCCTGCTCAGTAGGGAGGAATGTTCCAGGCTGCTGCTTTCCCCTTGCAGTTCTGAAGCAATGTTATCTATCTCTCACATTTTCTCAGCTCTTCTCAGCAGTAACAATGCTAAAAAAGCATATATTTTTAAAAATTTTTTTGAAACAAGGTCTGTTCTGTAGTTCAGGATGGCCTTGAACTCCCTATGTAGCCCAAGCTGCCCCTGCGCTCCTGGAAACCCTCCTGCCTCGGCCTGCCAAGTGCTAGGACTCCTGGCTGCCACCACCACACCTCCAGTTAGTGAATTTGCATTGTTTTGTCTTGTAGACAGTCTCACTGTGCAGCTCAGGCTAGCCTTCCACTCACCAGGTAGCTCAGGCTGGCTCCTCCTGCCTCAGTGTCCTGTGTGTTGGGGCTACAGGTGTGCATAACCACACCTGGCTACAATTTATAAGTGAGGCCCCTTTCTGTATGGACAAAAGTAACTGTCATGAGGCTGTTGATGGCAGGAGCTCGTGTGCAGAAAAGCAAACTAACCAAGTTAAATAGCGTGACCTGTCTCACAGTGAATGTCACAATCAGGGCCCAGAGCCAGGCTGACCTGGAGTACAGGCAGCCTCACTCCTGGCCTCTTGTCTGCCAGCAACTCCTGAGGGCTTCCTTGAGGTCCTGGGCCTGAGGGGCATGCTCCTCCTCCTCCTCCCAGCTCAAGGCTCCCAGTTGCCCCTCTTCTTATCCCCTCATCCCCTCCTGGCAACCTCTGACTCGGGCTGATACACTGGCCACAGGCTGTGGCTGGGGCTCAGATTTCGCAAGTCCCTGAGAAAGCTGGAACACAGCTGGGTCTCCCAGGGACCGGATCACACCAGTCTCTGCTGGGAAGCGTGCATGTGCAGAGAGGAAGCACTGGCACGCGAAGCACCTCTGGGCAGGGACGGGGACCCCACAGAGCCCTCCGGGCACCGTGAGGCCCAGTGCCTGGTGCAGCGCAGGCTTGTGGTGGCGCCGCATGTCCAGGGCCTCATGGCAGTGGGCAGCCCCAGCCCCGCCATCGTGGCCTTTTGTATCCTTGCCACAGGTGTCATACTTCAGCCCCTGGAAGGATATCTGAGGAGCAAGGGCAGGGCAGCCCTGGCTCCTGACTCAAACCAGAAGCGACCAGGCTCAAGAAGCTGCAGCAGCCAACGAGGGAGTCCTGGGGACACCCAGATGTGACCAGCCGGAAGAAGCAGGACCTCACCGTGCCACTACCCCACCCCCACCTGCGGCACCTTCCCTGCCCACTCCACTCCCCCAAGGCCACTGACTCCAGCTCTGGCTCCAGGGGCCTCTGGTCCTCCCAGCCCAAGCTGGCTGCAGCTCTCCCCACCCCCTTCTTCTCTCCCAGTCATGAATGTGAGGTTCCTTTGTGCATATTAAAGTCTTATTTCAGCCTCAGTGGTCTGGAGATTTCCTGCAGTCCCTGTCCCCAGGATTCACACCCAACCCAGCCACCCCGTGGCCTGCACGCCCTCACCTTGTGGCTGCCCCACAAACCCCAGGCAGAAATCTTCACCATGTGGCCCAAGAGCTGTCAGACCCTGGGAACAGGGCTAAGGACATTTTCTAGGGCCTTCCCACCCCTACTGAGGAGGCTACCCAGTGAGCTGTAATTATGCTTGATACAATTTATTGTCAACCTTGACATCAGTGTCACAGACTTAGCAGTAGCAGAAGGACAATTCTGGACCCTGCTAGAGGTTCCCTCAGCTTGGCCTCAGATCAGTTCTGTGGGCTCCGATCCCTGACAGGTACCAGGTATCTCCCACTCGAACCCCTTGGGAACTGAATGGGCCTCTGTGACCCAACAAGTCTCTGAGTAGGCACCCACCCCAGCCCTAAAAGCACGCTGGCTGCTGCTCCCTCCTGACTCCTGGTTGGGATGAGGCTTTGCAGGGAGCATGCAAGGAAGTTAAGAAGTGGCAGAGGATTCTCCCTGGTGTCTGCCCCCCTGCTCCACCCTGGGTGCCTCCCTTGGAGCTTCCCATGGCTGATGTGTACCACTTTGCTGTTTATTTATTTTTGTTTGTTTGTTTGCCAAGACAGGGTCTGCTAGAGATCCTGCTGCTTCAGCCTCCCAAGTGCTGGGATGACAGGTGTGTACCACCACTCCCAGCTTCCTTTGCTGTCTTTTATGCAAAAAGACCTTAAGGCCCATGACCCTGTGTGCATACCGAAGTGCAGCTGTGTCCCTTTTTGGGTCCCCAGGCTGCCAGAAGCAGGGGCATCTATTATTCAGAGGTCACGGGCACAAGCAAGGTCCAGTGCTGGACACCACACTGGACATCTTTTCTGCCTCATTTGCCAAATGAGAGATGTAAGAAACTGTTCCAGGGCCAGGGTAGCTTGGATTCCCCAGCAGCGCTGCTGTGAGTTCTGGTTTCTCTCCCTGGGCCAGTGGCCTAAGGCCCCAGTCAGCTGCAGGTCCTCCTGGATCCAGGGGCCCTGCCTGCTGCACCCTTCTCATTCCGAGACCAGCGCGTACATCCCGACAGTTACTCAGTTTCTTTTGGAAACCTGGAAATCACCTTTGAAATTTCCCTGCTTTGTTCTTACTGCCAGGGGCAGAGAGCAAGCAGGAGGCCCGAGAAGCTGAATCGGGGAGTTTCCAGCTCTTGAGGCCGCCCCTTGCTGGCTTAGAGCAGGAGGTGAGCTGTCTGTCATTGCAGACACCTGGAACCCCTCTCCGCAGCCTGGTTCCTGGCTCCCCAAACATGCTCATCCCCAAGAGAGAAACAGACACCGAGGATGGAGGAGGTGTGGGTGACAGTTCAGAGCCTCCAGAGACCTGGCTGTAACCTGAGCAGAGGTGTGCACCATGAGGTCACCCAAGGGCGCATGCTGTCCCCCGGGCCATGTAATGGGCCCTCTCTGGGACTGGCTGGGAAGTGACCAGACCTAAAAGCCAGGATCAGCTTGGGACCCAGTGCCCCTAAGGCTGCGAGTCCCACAGTGATGCCATCAGTGGCTTCACCTTTAAAGTCCAGGTCTTGGGCCCCTAAGCCCCTGGGGCCAGGCAGGGAACATCCTGGTGGAAGCCACTGGAACAGCAGCATCCGGGGCTGTGCTGACAGATGTTTTCCTGCTTCTGTTTGCTGATGGTGGCTGGGAGGGGTGGGAAGGGAAAGGCTGCCCAGGTGGACAGCTTCGATAACTCCCCCCGAGCAGGACGTAGACAGAGGAAGTATTTTTCCTATGTCCCCATTGCCTGGGTCCCCAGCTTACAGAAAGCTCTGGAAATGGGCCAGGTGGCCATCACTGAAGACCCCAGTGTGCACAAGGGGATGCCCCTCCCTCCTGCCAGTCACTGGCGACAGTGGTGGGTGAGCTGGCCTCGTGAGCCCATGGCTGACGGGAGGCCTTGAGGACCGGCTTTGGCTTCTCTGGGAGGCCTGTGACACATCTCTGGATTTCTCCTACTTGGCCACCAGCATTTGAGAAAATGGTGCGAGTAAGGTGTCCGTCAACATCTAATGGTGTAGGGCCGGGACATAGCTCAGTGGAATAAGCGCTTCCCTGGCAAGCGCAAGGACCTGAGTTCAATTCCCGGTTCCACCAAAAATAAAAATAAAAATAAAATAAAAAGTACCAAAGGATCTGAGTTCAATCCCAGGTTAAAAAAAAAAAAAAAAAAAAAAACATCTAATGGTGGGTGACTTCCACAGCAGGTGCCAGGCGGATCCATGAGCCCCTGCCCCTACTAGTAACGTTTGTTGGTTTGTTAAGATGGGGCTTTGATATGTAGTTCAGGCCTTGAGCTCACTATGGGGCTTAAATTGACCTCAAACTTTCGATTCTCCTCCTCAGCCTCTTGTGTGCTGGATCACAGGTATGTACCATCCTGCCTGGAAGTCATTTTTTCCTTAATGGAAGACACTAGAATCCTTATTTTTCTACCAGTTGTCTTTTTATTTTAAAAGGATGAATCATGAACAATCATGCGAGGCAACCTTATCCTCTGCCCGCCCACCCGTGGCCACAGCCAGGGCCCATGTGGGGAATGCACAGCGAGCGAGCAGCAGGAAGTGCAGGAGGTGGCCGAGTGGGGGGCACCCCCAGGCTGCTCTTTCCTGCCTACACCCTTGGCTTGGGGGGCCCTGGCGCCTGCCACTGAGGTACAGAAAAAGCCTGTCCCTGCCAGTGAAACCAAACCGCCTTTGAAACTTTCCACTGGGGCCACCTTGGAGGGCAGGCAAGCCAGGGAGCTCAGGTCTCGCTGATGTCCCTCACCCTAGGAGCTGGGGGGCAGCTTGAAGGTGAGGGAAAGAGGAAGTGGAACATTGTCAGGATATACGGTTACTTATGGAAAAGACAGATTTGGGAGTCTATTTATTTTATCTTTCCAAAAAATATTTTGAGGCCAGGTATAGAGACACATGCTTGTGATCCAGTACTTGGGAGGCCGAGGCAGGATCACCATGAATTTGAAGCTACCCTCGGCTACATGATGAGACCCTATCTAAAAACAAAACAAAACAAAACAAAACAAAAAAAACCCCTAAACTAAAAAAATATTCTGGAGATGGGTGTTTCACTATGTTGTTCAGGCTGGGCTCAAACGTACAGGCTTAACCAGGCAACAAAGCAACTCTCCTGCTTCGGCCTCTCCAGTTACTGCAACTGGCACTATAGTTGTCTACCTTAGCACCCAGCTTCAAGCCCTAATTTATCACTAATATTATTGCTATTTAGTTGTTTTGAGACAAGCTCTCACTATGTAGTTTCCTTCAGGATGGCCTTGAACTCATTATGCAGCCCAGCTGGCCTCAAAATCACAGAAACCCCCCTGCCTCAGCTTCCTAAATGCTGGGATCACAGTTGTGTATCACTGAAAGCCAGCCCAAAACTTAGTTTAAAATTTCTGAATTTGCATGTGAATTTGAGCCAGTTGCTTCATCTTCTTGATAAAATAAATGAGGGAAATAATGCCAGTTTTTTAAAGGACAGAATGAAAATGCAAAAGCAGGTTGCAAAATCTAACCAGTAGGAGCCAGGTATGGTGGTGCACACCTATAATCCAAACAGTCCTAAGGCTGAGGCAAGAGGATCATCGCGTGTTTGAGGCCAGCCTGGGCTACACAGTGAGACCCTGTCTAAAAAAAATAAAATAAAGTAAAATCCTAGGAAAGAAGAAAGAATGTGGGGTCAGCTGTCCAGCCAAGCACCCCTACTTCAGTGGGTGTGGGCCAATCCTGATGAGACCCTGCATCTTCTCCCTCCCTGCCTACCCCACCCCAGGTCATCTGCTTTCCCCTATCTCAGCATCTGTAAGGCCAGTCTTTTTCCTGGTGGAAAGGAGCTGGGCAATGTGGCTTGGCCAGGGAGGGAAAAGGGGCCTTTATGTGCACCAGCAAAGACCCGATTGTTACCAAAGCCCAACTGGGCTGCTTTTCTCAATTATCTCCACTGCTTTTTTGGTCTCCACTTTTTGGATGCCAAGTTTTAACCCAGAACAAAAGCTGCTGTCGCCCTGATTTATACTCCAGATCTGCTGACAAGGCCTGAAGTGCACTCTCCAGGACTGCCGGCTTAAAGTCACCACTGGAGCTTCAAGGCCTTCAGTCCCCACTAGTCCCGTTTGCCTCCAACCAGGGTGTGGCATCTTGCTTCAGGTGCTCGTGAATGACTTCTTCGAGGTCCCTCTATCCACCTGCCTGGCTCTGAGGCCCAGCTGGCCTGAAGCAAGTCTCACCAGGCAGCTACCCTGGGTCTGAGCTCCAAGTTACTCTAGGGGAGGCAGTGGGCGGAGGCTGGCCTTTGGGAGGTGGTGGTGGTGGCAATCGCAGCGTGGCTCTTTCAGCCCCTTTCATCTGAACAGCAGGCTCGTACCACTTGTTAACCAGTCCGCCGGTGGCACCAGAGGAGTCATTTCCTGGGGGCAGGCTCTGCCTGCAGCACCAGAGACAAGGAATCTACCGTCAGAGCCTTGGGGCGGGGGGGAGGAGGGGGTCCTGGACTGCAAGGCTCGTTCCAGCCTAAGGCCTCTGAGACCAAGAAAGGAGGCAGAATTGAGGGCCAAGAGACCAAATCAGCGCCCCAAGAGAATCCTCGATTTTCTGTCCTGAGCCCCTCCCCCATCTCCGTTCTTGTAAGTGGGGGTGTGTGTGGAGCCGCTGAGCCCTATTCCCCAGCTCGGCCTGCCGCAGGTCTCCAGGGGACACTTCAGAGCTACCAGGTAAGTCCGATTCCCGGGCGGCACTGCCCAGAGCCCCTCCCCCGCCCCACCCCCTCCCGGGTGCCGTGTCGCAGCCCGCGAGTCCAGAGCGCTGGGCGTCCGGGCACGGGGAGGGGCGCGCGCCCGAACCCCCGGGCGCACAACGG